GGGAGGCTGGGGTTGGTGGGGGCGAGGTGGAAGGCGCTTCGTGCGGGATTGTTGGTTTGTTTGGTGCTGGCTGCGAGGAGCCACTTGGCCGTGGGGGAGTTCCGGGTGATTTTCTCCTGGGTGATGAGTTGGGAGCGGAGGGCGATTGGGTGCGTTGGATTGTCGTCTTTGACGTAGAAGGGGAGGAGGGTGGGCGCGATTTGGGACAGGAGGGGGAGTTTCTTGGCAATGGCGTTGCTGTGGGGTTTGAGGTAGGGGACGGGGTTTTGGGTGAGGGCGTGGTCTAGGCCTGTGGTGGAGGGGCATTTGTGGTCCTTTTTGTGAAGGGCGTCGTTGGAGAAGGTGTAGATGGCTGGGGTGTTTGGGTGGATGGCGATGGCGTGGACGACGTTTTCGCTGTTTCCGAGGGCTAGGAACGGGGTGACTCCAGAGTCGTGGATGATGGCTTGGAGGAGGGTGCCGGGGGTCCAGCGGTCGGTTAGGTGGGGGCCTGGGTTGGGGTGGTTGGTAAGGAGGTCCATGATGGCGGTATGGGTTTCCTTGTTGAGGAGGTGGGGTGCGGTGGTGGGCATGTTCTTGGTGATCTTGTAGTTGGGGGGAAGACAATTTCTGGATTGTGAGGTGATGGAGCGGATGCTCGTTTGGTTGATTGTTATGTTTGTCGGTGGGTGGTGGGTAGGTGAGGCGTGTGGGTTTCTTGGGGTGATGGTGGTCGGGTGGTGGGTTGAGGGTTGTGTCTTGTGGGATGGCCAGAGCTTGGTGGGGTAGGTGGGGGTTGGGTCTGTTTGGTGGTTTGTGATGGCCGAATTTTTTGTTGTGGTCGGTTGGGGTGTCGGGGTCGGGGGGCCGTGTGGTCATGTGGTGGTGGAGTTGACTGTGGGTGGGAGGTTTGGGTGTCGGTGTGGGTGTGACAGGGGGTGTCAGGGTTGATGTTTTGTGGTGATGTCAGAACACGTGGGTTGCGGGTTTTCGTCGGTGCTGGGGTATTGGAGTTGGCGACGAGTGGTGTGGCGTCTGGGTTTGTAGGTTTGGCGATTTTTGGTGACCGTGGGGCGGTCTGGTGTGGCGGTGKYGGTTGAGATAGGATGGGTTGTCACGGTGTGGGGGGCACGTTTTGCGACGTTTCGCCTTGCTGTACGGATGGTTTATTGTTGGCGATCCGTTGCGTGTTCGCCAGATTCTTCGGAGCGTAGTGGTGCAGTGTTGTGTTGGTATCGTKGTGATGAGAGTGCAGATTCGTGAATTCACTGGTTTCATTAGTCTCATCTTGCCACGATACCATCTTGCTGCGCCGCTTGCTGAAGAATGAGYTTCAAGGCTCTGTGCTTTTCTTTGTTGGGGCGTACGCTGCCTCGATTGCTTGGTTTCGCTGTCTGTCGTCTGTCCGTCGCTCCCAACACTCCTTCAAGTTGTGTACTTCTTTCGTTGCGTTGCGTCGAGATTTATTTCAGTTGATTTCACGAGAGCGCGTCAAGGTCAAAAAACACAAGCTATCGCAATCAAAATATTTATTATTCATCCACATTGATGTACCGGTACAGCCAAAAGAAATAGCTGAAGCATCTACTGCGAAAGTTATGATCGATAGTTGTCGCTCAGGACTTTCCAATCTCGTAAAAAGTTTYCCGTGAGAGATTTGAAGCGGAGGTTTTATGGAGGATGGTGGAACCGCGATGGCGTCCTGTGCAAATGATCACAATCCTCCTAGGAAAATCACAAACGCAGCATTATCTAAGACGTTGGCAGAATTTCAACCACGACCAAGTCAAGTCGCATCCTGCGCCCTAAATCTTTACCGAGGAAAATTACCGAAAAAGGGAAAACCAAAACCAGGGGAAGAATGGACTGTATATGCTGCCATTGTAGCATTTCATCGGGTAGATAACCGAATGTGGGTTGTCAGCTGTGCGACAGGGACAAAGTGCACAGCTCAACGACACAACGAATGTGTTTTACACGATTCACACGCCGAGGTTTTGACCCGACGCGGATTGATACGAGTGATATTGTCTGAAATAATGGAAAAGAAGAAGGGAATAGAAAATAATGAGAAAAAAAAGAATACGGATTCCAGGTCTTTGTTGGTTGTTAGCAAGGGCTAYCATAGTGATTCGGAAGAAAGACAATATAGATTCAATCCCAACATCGACTTACATTTTTATATCAGTGACTCGCCTTGCGGAGACGCCTCGATTTATAGTGTTCCTTGTGATGATGCGACGAGAAACAACGATGGAATTTTGTATACCGGTGCAAAAGTGATCGTTTCAGAAGCTACCAAAGTGGACGCGACAGATTGCGGCGGTAATCATCAATTGCTTTCTACCAAAGGAACGAATGCTAGTAACAAGGTGATGAGTGAAGTAGCAAGAAACGAAAAAGACCTCAATGATATTTCAGAGAAAGCTGGCCCAGTATTCGCTCGCGAGGCAATCCAGGTTCTCGGAAAGTTGAGAATCAAATCGGGCCGATCAAATCTTCCAGCTCACATGCGAAGTCACTCTCATTCTTGTAGTGACAAGCTTGCCTCTTGGAGTGTACTCGGTTTACAGGGGGGATTGCTCACCAAATTTTTGGATCCGCCAATCGTACCTTTGGCGAGCGTAGTTGTCAGCAGAGATTCCCGGTTGAGTGGAAACGATGGCGATTTTGACAACGGACGAGCGGAGCGACATCAGTCCCAAAGGATGGCTTTGCAAAGAGCGATTCCTGGCCGAGTCCGAAGTGTTTGGGAACATCTGTCCATACACCAAGAGCATGAGCTGCCCACTTGGAAACCATCGATTCCCAAGGTTCACATTGTTCCCGAAACATTTGAATCTGGAAAAGCACAAATGATCGCTCCTCGGAACAGTAGCAACTTCTCCGGAAAAAAACGCAAGCAATCTAATGACAATGGAGAGAATATGATCAGCAACAAAACCAAAGAAATCGAGCATGGTACAATTGGTAAAAAAGCGGCGTCGCCCTGTGGAATGTCCTTCAATTGGAATCAAAACGAAGACATAGAAGTCACGGTAGGAGTGCGCGGTGTTAAACATGGCAAGAAGCCCAAAACACCACAAGACATCGAAAAGCATGCGTCTCGACTGTCTCGAGCAAGATTCTTACGAGAGTATTCTTTCCTATGGGAGAGCAAAGATCTTGCGTCTTCTGCGTCGTCAATACCAATGTATTGTAAACGCTATCACCAATTCAAAGAAGAAAATGCTAGCCACGAGTGGACTGACTTGAAAAATAGAATACTGACACAGAACGGTAGTCCCTTAGCGGGCTGGATTCGGTATGTTCCAGCAAACGACGATGATTTGATAGATTCAAAAGGGCGTAAAGCTGATAGATAAACTCATTGTGAGTCCAGCATAGAGTATGGTTACAGTAGCACGTATATTTCAAGACAAGACGCAATCATGCACACTGTATCGAGATCATAGACGAAACTGTTGTAGACTTGAGATCTACGAGCGCTACTTTCTTTGTTTGCCCATTTTTAATTTTTCACTAATCGCATGGAAGCTTCTTTCGGTTCACTAGCTTTTCACTACAGCGGTAGATATTCCCCCCTCTCATTCTGGTAAATTTTTCCCTCCATTTGCAGGTCTTCGGTCATCTCTTGAATGTCGCGTTGTGTTTTCTGCAACACCGCAGCCAAATCTTTTAGCAAAAGGCCATTCAGCGACTGAACCTGCGGCGGTTGCTCTTTCGTCTTCGCTGATGACTGTGTCTGCAAACAATATGTTCCAGTGTGCAATTTGGTGGGTTGCAATTTTGAATTCAAACTCCGTCGGGCAGGGATAATCCTGTTGGTATTGACAAAGCTCCTTTGTAGTCCTTTCGGGCGGTTTTGTAGACGCAGCGGCAGCCTGTCGCTATTGAATCTTAAACAACTACGTTTTTGTGGAATACTGTTGCGGAATCTTTTCGCTATTGGTTTCCCTGTCTGCTCCTGCTGTTGTTGTTCACGTTGCAATTGAGCATTGAGTCGAATCAAGCGATATACCTCGGGTGCATTCTTTCGGCGAGTTGGAAACCCAGCTCTGTGACAAAGATTAGAATATTGAACCCGTAATGATGATGACGACGGCGATGACTGAGAACAAGACATTTGATCGTGGTGACTGAGTTCCATCCACCGATAATGCTCGTCGATGGGATTCTCGATCTTGATCAGGGTATCGGCGAACCATTGTTTTGTTGAGGAATTTTGACGTAATTTCAGTACCCAGTCGTAGGTCGTCCCAATATCTATCACTATCTCCGACGATGGGGACTCTATCATTTGTCGAGGAGCACAAACGACAATGGAATCTGTCCCATCATCAATTGTAACAGACAAAAAGACAGCCTCGTTTCCGCCGTCGGTGCCACTATTTTGCGTCTGTGACAATGCTTCCCCTCGATTGTTTACAGATGTGATTGGCCTTTCGATGGGAGACGACCAGTTCGGACATTTCATCAAAGGGTGTAGCAGTGCTTTATCTTCCATGGAAAAATCACTGATATGAGTAACAACACCCATCACACGAACCGATTCTCTTGAATTCGCGAGGAAGGTTCCTGTTTTCAAATCTCGAACCCAACAATGTTTCGTATCGAATGTTGCCATCGTGCTCTTTCTGCTGATCTCTTGCTACGGTACTGCACGTCAGTGCATGTTCGATATCTCTTTCTATCCAACTACTCAAAGGGCTCGGAATGAAACTTCTACCGTTCAAGCATTGCAAAAAGCAATTCGTACTGTGCCGCTAGAATGATTTCAAAACCAACATCTTTTTCTGGATGAAAGAAAAGTTGAGAAGAGAAAAAACTATGCTGTTCTCGTACTTGTTGCACAGTACGTACGTACCTCTCCGTACGGTTCGTGCCCAAGAAAACTAGCGCGATCTATTACTGTATCACTACTACGCGTTGCGCACGTTTCACAGGGCATTCCGAATGTTAGAATTAAGAATTACTACGCGTTGCCATCAATTGAGATTACCATGCCAAAAATAACAAATGAAATTACGTTAATTGAGGCTCAAGTGACCAGTGTGGGGAGGCTCCGTACTCAAATACTACTAAAATGTGCATTAACTGTCTCACACTCAAGGATTGTGCAGACGATTCAATACTACTCAAGCAAAATGCCTGGTAATGTAGTAGTACTGATACTCAACCAAACAGTTGTTGCAGACAATTTGCATTTGTGGATACTCAAGTCAGTCTGAAGGGTGTAGTGCCAAGCTACTACTAGTAGTATGTCTACATATTCATCCTCATAAACATGATGATCTTCAGGTTATGTCACCAGAAGGGCAGCATTTGTGAATACTCAAAGGACTATCTAGTATGGGGAATCATGATGAACCAATCTGCTTGTGAAGGGTTAATGTCGTGCTACTACTATGCCAATAGGCATACTACTGATCAGCCAGCTATAGCAGGAGAAGAGCCTAGTATTCATCATGTAGTGAGGAAGTATATTGCCATAATAGTAGCAGTAATGGGAATGCAATCCTTGATCTACTGGATGATGTTGTACTAGTGCTACAAGACAAGTTTAACATTGGTTTGTCTAAAAAAGGAACAATCAACCAATTGAGGACATGATAACTGATAAGCAGGAGTACACTGATAGCTGATACAGAGGACACTGATACAGGGGAGTATGAGATACAGAGGGGGAGTAGCTGATAAGGAGTATGCAATGTGGAGGAGTATGCTGATACGGAGTATGCAATAGTACTATAGAGGAGTGTGCTGATAGTACAGGGGGTGCCCTGGTTTGAAGGACTGCATTGATACAGAGGAATGTGCTGATATGGGGGACACCACTGCTGATATGGAGGACACTGATAAGGACGACACTAGTAATAAAATATGGAGGAGGAGTCACTGATACAATATGAGTTGCTGATATGGAGGACACTGCTGATACAGAGGATGCTGATACAACGGACACTGGTGATACAGGGAGTAGTATCCTGATATGGAGAATTATGCTGATAAGGAGGACACTGGTGCTGGTGCTGATAGTAGTACTAATAGTAGTACTCCTCCCAGTAAGAAATAATGATCATGACATTTGATGTCTGGAAAAATCAGGCAAAGCAATGGGTAAAATGGTTTTAGGTTCAGAATAAATCCTGGTGCAGCCATCAGCCATTCTCCAAGCCAGATTTTTTTCAGAAGTTGGGTGACAAATTTTTAACAATAACAGTTTTACATGGGAAAATGAGCTAAAATTTTCTACTAGTAGTATTTGACTAAGTGGTTCTATTGTTCAATCATGCACTTAACCACGTGTTGCTTCAAGGCAGCATTGGTACATTCCATTTACCATAAATACAGTATGTATGGTAGATAGATAGCTATGGGAGTACCGGTACTATGTAGTTTGAATCAACAATATCAGCAGGGGTACCCCCGGATAAGAAATAAATATTTACGTGTAGAACTGTACACGGCCTGGCTGTTTTGCATCTTTTTTCCATTTTTGATTGGTTTGCTGATCTATTTTCAACCGTTAGTGACATCAGCAATTACTGTACTAGACTGTAGCCCAGCCACTTAGCCGGAATCAAGCTCTGCTTGTAAGATTATGTACGTATTCAATACAGTAACTTCCGATCATGAAATCTGAAATCTTGCATTATTTACTGTAGTAGCTTTATGTTGTGAAGTACCGTACGATTTACTCGTATGGATTTATATGGACTACTGATCTCGAAAAGAGAAAACCGATTGCGATCGCGTCCTGAAGCAACAAACATCAGATTGTCTTTGAATCACTTACCGGTGACTTGCTTTGTTCTGTATGCGAATCAAAAAGTTCCTTGCATAATGGTTAAAATTAGAGAAATAAAGCAAACCCTTGAGAATGCTCTGATCAATAAGGACCCGCATCGCCTTGCACAAGTTTTCGAACCCCTCGTGGGCGTTGCATCGTCGGCGATAGCAACTAATGGGGGTCGGCAATCACAAAAGCACAATCCCCAATCGTTTACGGTGAATGGCAAAAACTGTGGAGGTCTTCTGACATCCTTGCTAGATGCATACGCCGCGGCAGAAGTTGTAGGTAATAGTTGTACATGGTATTTTTGATGTGGTGTAACGTCAGATATCGCTGCACTTGTTGTTTTCGAGTATATGTAACAAATAGATTGCCAATTGTTGTTTGAAACTCAAACAATCAAAAATGAWTTTTTTTCTACCTAATGATAGGGTGATAWCGAAGCCGCGTTTGAAGCCCAGGTAAAGGTGCACCCTAAGTTCAATCAATTATTCAGTTCATCGGAGGGAAATTGGATGGTACCAGCGATGATTGTGGTCTGCAAAACGACACACAAATTAGGGCTCCTAGCTGATAGGCAAATTTTGATCAAAAGCAAGACGAAACAAAACCACCACGCAAAACTGCAGAAAGCAGTCCCTATTCTCCAGGAATCGTACTCGAAAACTTTCAACGATCGAACCGAATACCAAGCCGGAGCCCCGTTTGACACGGACGGGAGCAAACAGGCCGGTGTGCTTGGGATCGTGAACGAGTTGTTTGGAATGTACTTTCGACTCAACATCTTGCGTTTGTGCAAGAATCTGATACGTCCCGTCGAAACGAAAAAGCTTTCCGAAAAAGGAAGCATGGCAGAAATGGTTACCTACACATATTACGTCGGACGACTTTCGATGTTTGAAGACGACCATGCCCGTGCCGAGACCAACCTGGAGTATGCCCTCGCACATTGTCACAGAGATGCTACGAACAACAAAAAGCGCATTTTGAAGTATCTCGTTCCTGTCAAACTGTATCGAGGAAAATTTCCCACAACCCGACGTAAGTTTATGAGTGTCAACATCGTGTTTTTATATTTCAGCGATCAGGTGTGTCTCACCATTTCATTAATCACGCGCTATTCTCTGTTTTTTGCACCGTATCCAACACTTTAGTTTTGGACAAATATGGATTGGAGGAATTCAAACCACTTGTAGAAGGAATGCGCAAGGGAGATCTTCGAACATTCCAGGATGGCCTTGTCAAGTACCAGGATCGCTTTATTGGGCAGGGAACATATCTACTCCTTGAAAAGTGTAAGACGGTTGTTTATCGGAACCTTTTCAAGCGTGTCTGGAAAATAATGGACAGTTACCAGATCAAACTAGAACAAATCTCCAAAGCATTCAAATGGCTGGGGATGCCCATCGATTTGGACGAAATGGAATGCATACTGGCGAACTTGATCTTCAAACGCTACATAAAGGGATATTTATCCCATGCCAAGCGCACGTTGGTTCTTTCCAAGCGAGATCCTTTCCCAACATCGGCTGTGATTTCAAATTAGACTGAATAGGAAAACCGGAAAACCGGCAACAAAAATACTGAAACGTACGATGTTGATTGGAAAAGGGGTGGGGAGGAATAAGTTCTAGTCAATTGATATTTTTCAATCCAAGCAATGTGCCGTAAAATGGAATCTAGGTGTAGTTGGATGAAGAAAAGTCAATTGTTTATCGATGAAGATTTGACAAGAATTGTGATATCGATAGTGTCGGAGTTTATTACCAATATCATGGAACTGAGAAAACTTGACGTGATGCTGAATGCGAATTTTATTGCATTAGATTTAATCGATCGACACCATTCAATTATATCAAGAATATTCCGTAAAAAGTTTCCGTAAATTATATCCAACGCCATCAGTCCATTTGTACCGAATCTAAAAAATAGAGTATCCAATGTCGAAGAGGACGTTCGCCTAACATCAATATTCTTTCCCTTGATTTTCTTTTGCAAGATTACTTATCAACAACGCCCAGTCTTCGTTCTGTTTAGCATCAGGTTTCCACTTCCTTTCTATTTGAGGTGGAGACTCGCTCTTCCAATCACCTTTATAGCCCAACTTTAACATCAAAGATTCCATGACGTCGTCGACTTTCGCCCGAATTACGTGCACCGCATTTTTGTCTTTCGGCGTTGATTGGAGATTGACAATGAAAAACTTTTTTGCCAGCAATGGAAGACTCCCTACCGGCTCAATACGTAATGATGTACCAAGACAAAGTATTAAATCCGCCTTCAAGCATTCGGCTTTTACTCTTTCCATGTCGAGAACAGGGTCTTCCCAGTCCAAAAGAATGTCTCGCATGTCACCTCCGTCCCCGCATTCATCACATGAGTTTCCCGTGGGTTGAAAACTTAAACCTTGTAATTCTTTGTCTCTGAAGTATTCACAACCACACTTGGCACATTTTTCAGTAAAAACGCAACCATGAACAGTTGAATGGTAATTTCTCGATAATCCGGATCTTCTATGCAAACCATCAACGTTTTGCGTGACGCAGAACTTGAGTATTCCGTCCGTCGTTAGTCTCGTTATAGCATGATGTGTGAGAGTGGGTTCCGCGAACCGAAACATATCATCGCTTTGGTTTCCAACCACTGAAGATTCAGAAACAGTCGTCGAGAGCTTCCGTTTCCGACTCTTGGAAGGCGATTCTTTCTTCATTCGCCGCTTTTTTTCTTCCTCCTTCGTCCAAATGCCGTTCGGCCCCCGAAAGTCTGGTATCCCACTAGCTGTGCTGATTCCTGCACCAGTGAGAACAATTGTGTAATCAGATGCCTCCATTGCTCTCTGTAAATGCTTTAGCTTCAGAGCTAGAGTTCTCTGGGAATCGTAAGACTCGGGTAATCCAACGACTCCCTTGTTCGGGTATTCAGACAGACGAGAAGCATACCCCGCCGACATGACCGACGACAATCAACTTGCGTTGGCGCTTGGAACGTATCTAAGTGAGAGATACCACAATTTCAGTTGGGACTGTTGTTAACAGTTTGTTGGAGAATAGGCTCAGCTGAACTTCGAAATCCCCCCTCCCCCGTGTTTTTAAATAAGTAGCATGTTCTGTTGGGAAACGAGGGACCGCGCGCACGCGCATCGAGACGTCTGTTTCCATCCGTCAACCAGATGACACATTTTGACACCCCTGATGTCATACAGAAAAATTATCCACCACCAATACATACCAAAGAACAAACACATCATAGCAATAACAAATGGATTGAGACATCAGAAACCAGATGATCTCATTCTTTTTCCTTTATCTAGTCAACAGGGTTATTGCTCTTTAAGACTTTGTATCACGGACCACTAGGTGCCCTTTGGTATCAAAACAACATAAAGGAAAAAGAAACACTAGTAATCAGCAACTATATCCCAAGGGATTGGTACCGCTGACAAGCCAATCGGAAGAGACCGAACGGCGATCTTTAGAGATGAATTCACTAAAGAGCGGGGCCACAGAGCCCACCAAGAGGACGACCACAGGGGAAGGATCCCCGGCAGTCACAAAACAAGACGGAGGACAACAACGTTCCCAACAAAACAAACAAAGGCATAACAACAAGAAGAGCGAGAACACTAAGAAGTTCACTGGACACAACCAAGACGACCTAAAAGGACACGTCCTCACTGAAAACTCAAGTGCACAAGACTACACATCGTTCAAAGAACGTGTCGAAACGATGGCTGGAACTAAATACATGCCATCAGTGGGAAGATCTATAGAGACCCTCACCAAGCTAAACGTAGCTAGCTTYGCACCGCGTAAACCAACAGAAGACCAATGGTCAACAGACGACCCTCAAAACCCAGGAGTGAAGACAGTCAATCAAGACCTCAAGGAAACACTCAACAGGATCTACGATGCCCAAATAGGGGAAGTAGCCAAAGAATTGCTACGGTATGAAAGAGACATGGAAAAGATGTACAACGTAGTACTCGGACAAGTAGACAATGGCCTCAAAGAAAAGCTCAAGTCCCATACTAACTGGAACTTAACATCCAACACCAAGTGCGTAATCAGCCTGCTCTCCATCCTACGTGAGATATGCTTTCAAGGCAATAGGAGCAAAGTTCATCCGCCAACGAACATCATAAGAGCGCTCCGCAAGCTCCTATGTAACCGACAACGTTTCGCAAGCGACTGCGCCGAATACGTCAAGTCAACTACAGAAGCATTCGAAGTACTCAAGTCACTCGGAGGATCAGTAATATGCCCAGCCCTCATGAACTACCATATCGACAACTTACCTGATATTGACCGGAACAAGTTCGACAAGCTGCCACAGGAAGAAAAGACCAAGATAGAGTATGCGGTTGAACAAGAGTTCCTCGCGGCACTCCTCATCGAGGGGAGTGACGCCGAGACCAGMACCCTACGGGAAACACTCGCAAACGACTATTGTTTCGGTCCAACTAACAATAACTACCCAGTTACCACCACCAAGGCCCTTGATCTTTTGAACCACTTCAAGGATTCTAAGAAACCCCCGAAGAATAACAACAAGAACAACAAGCAAGGACGCCGACGATCGGACAATGAGAAAACTGAGGACGCCACAGCCCTTGTCAACAAAGGGGAGCCCTCCGACGCTAGTACTCACAATGAACACACTGACAACTCCACGGACGCATCCACTACAAACGAGCCTGGCGGAAATTTAACCAGTCGTCAACTGCTTATCAACGCGGTTGCTGACGGCGAAGTATTTGCCAGTGATAACTATTTCTGCCTGTTCCACCACGGTATTCCGTGCAGCACCGATACTAGCGAGCACAGCCAGCGCACCTCCGACAGCGGCTACTCCCCCGTTAGCATTGCCCCATCATACCTCACCGACGACAACTGGGTATATTGGTTCGAGCACGGGGATCCCCCCGTCCTGCCAGCCGAACCAACCCACACCGACACTCCCATACACGCCAACACAATCCCGTGCGTTGTACAGTTCCCTACCTCTCCACCTGGACCTCTGCCACCACCTTCACCTCCTTGCAGGAGTGAGTACCCTCTTTGCGATGATGTCGATCACCTAGACCTCATCGATCTGTTTGATCCGCCACCAAACACTAAGCAGCCGGAAATTAGCAAGGAAAGCTCAGCCACGGCAAAGCCCCATAATAACAATAACACRCTCAAACCCAGGAGTGGGACCTACACATACAGCAAGAGTGTCACCCTCCTTGCACAAAAGAACAACGACGGGGCCGTGAATCCCAACTGGATCCTCCTAGACAGCGAATCCTCGATAAACCTCATATGCAACAAGGATCTAGTGAAAAACATCAGGGTATCCCCGACTGGACRCGKCATGAATATACACTGTAACTCCGGAATAGCCCATACAAACCTCGTTGCGGACCTACCAGGGTATGGGACCGTATGGTTCTATGAAAAGGGAATCGCCAACATACTATCTTTAGCCCTAGTGTCTGATCGGTACAGAGTGACAATGGATACATCTGTTGACRATGCCATGCATGTCCACCGTCACAATGGAACACGACGTTTTGGACGATCCACGTGCAACCTCTACTACAGCGACACGAAGCAGGATGACCATTCCACCGTGCTGGCCGTCACTACGAGCAAAGGCAACAAGGAACTATATTCCGACCTAGATCTGCGACGAGCCAAAGCAGCACGGAAGGTGCAAGAAACGATTGGGCTCCCGACGACGAAAGATCTCATCCGAATGATAGACAACAACCTCATCAACAACATCGGTATTACACGGYGAGACGTGAAAATCATGGAAGAAGTATATGGTCCCCACACAGGGATAGTCAAGGGACGGAGCGTACGGAGGACACCCGAGCATGTCCGAGAGGACATCACGGAAGTACCCGCTGACATACTGGAAAGGTATGGCAATGTAACACTGTGTGTAGATATATTCACAGTTAATGGCGTGCAGTTCCTGCACACTATATCTAGACACCTTAAGATACGAACAACCAAAGCCATCAACGACCAAAAGAAAGCTACACTGCTCCGCTGCATAAAAGCGGTAGCCGGTCACTACGCATCACGCGGGTTCATAGTAACACAACTACACTGTGACAACCAGTTCGAGTGCATACGGGACGACCTACTGGGCCTCGATAGACCAATACAAGTACACTGTGTTCCGGCGCAACAACACGAGCCGACAGTAGAACGCAGCAATAGAACCATGAAGGACAACGTGAGAAGTATTTTTACTACGCTGCCGGTGAAGCGTTTGCCCCGCAGATGTCTTGTGGAGCTAGTATATGCCGTAACTTTCTGGCTAAACTGCAGGACCACCGGAGTCAGTCCAACCATGTCCGCAAGAGAGCTTGGACTGGAACAGTCTTCGATGCAAATGACACCAAGTATCAGTTCTTCGAATATATGCAGGCTCACCATGGTGACACGGATAACACCATGAATCCACGCACTGACGACGCAATATACCTCAGGCCCACAGGCAGCCTAGCTGGAGGGTTCTTCGCGTTCGATGTCAACACCGGCCAGCTCATTAGACGACAAACAGGAACACMAATGCCAATGCCAGACAGTGTCATCAAAAGGATTGAAGATATCGCTGCGGCGGAGAAGATGCCCGATGGCCTTATATTCGGCGACCAACACGGAAATACCACAATACTCGATCTACACACTGACGATCCAGGGAATGAATCAGACAACATAAGTGATCCATCATACCGCACRAAGGATGGGACTGATGAGGACAGTTCAACCATCGAGCCCTTACACGAGCCATTAATCGACGAGGCACAGGCCCTGGAGGAATCCGACGATGCAGTCCAACCAGAAGAGGACGCTGGATCCATCCACGGTGCAGACGCTGACGCTGATCATTCGGGCGACGATGAGGATCACGAGGTTGGAAGCAATGGTTCCGAAGCAAGGAGTGCACACGACGATAATGAAGCAGTCCCATCCCCTCCACGAGGGCCGACACTACGACCGCGGGTCACCAGGACACATAATAAGTTCGGGGCAGCAGACGGCTTCACCACAACTGAACATACAAGGTCATTCTTCACAGCGGGATACACCAGGGCCGTGAATGAGATAAGCCGAGCCCACAACACCATCCTCCTGGTGGCCAATGCCATAGAACAATACAATCATTTGGATGCAACACACTCGTCGAAACAGTACGGCGTCCGCCAAGGACTCAAAGTGTTCGGGGAAGAAGGAGTGGCGGCCGTTCTAAAGGAACTAAAACAGTTCCACGAACGTGGAGTGATCTCCATGATTGACCCAAAGACAATGACAAGAGACATGGTGCAACAATCTTTGCCCTATCTCATGTTCCTCAAGAGGAAACGCGACAGCTCCATAAAAGGTCGGGGCTGTGCCGACGGCAGGCGACAACGGGAGTTTATCAATAAGGAAGATGCGACGTCACCGACCGTGTCGCTATACGCACTCATGCTGTCCTGTCTGATTGATGCAATAGAGGGAAGGGACGTGGCCACAGCAGATATCCCAGGGRCGTTCCTACAGACCAACATGCCGGAGGATGAAAATGTGTACATACGATTGGACGGCACCATGGCTGAGCTACTGTGCAGGATTGATCCAAAATTATACTCCAAGTACATCAGTGGAAAGGGAGGAAAGAAAGTCCTGTTTGGAAGAGCCGAGAAAGCCATATACGGAACCCTGAGAGCAGCTCTATTATTCTGGCAGAAGCTGTCCGGAAAACTCATTGATTGGGGGTACGAGCTCAATCCATACGACCCATGCACTGCGAACAAAATGATCAACGATAAACAGTGTACAATAGTGTGGCATGTCGATGACCTCAAGATATCTCATGGTGATCCCAAAGTGGTGGACTCAGTGCTGGATTCGTTAGACAAGGAATTCGGTACTATTTCACCGCTTACAGTCACTCGAGGGAAGATACACGACTATGTGGGGATGACGATCGACTACA